TCACATTGGTTTTGCCGGTTTTCAGCCGGTTCACACTGGTTTTATCGGTTCTCAGCCGGTGCTACCGGTTTTCAATCGGTTCATTGCAAAACTGGTTTTGGAAGTTGACTGGACCGGATAGGCCACTGGTTTCCGGTTCAACCGGCTGAACCGACCGGTCCGGTCCGGTTTTGATAACCATGGTAATTAGTTTCTATTCACAATTAGTGGCTTGATTGAAATTATTTTAATAGTTTAGTAACATAATTGAAAAATATCATAGTTTAGTGTCAAAATAGAAATGTACTAATAGTTTAGTTACCCATATGATAGTTTACCCAAAACAATTAGGTACCAAATTAAACCTTAAAGCCAAGGTCAAGTACTTAACTAGCCGGATCCAGACGGTCAAGGTTATTAACCAAAGTAACTCCGGTTCTCATGTAGTTCTTAATATGTTTTTTTAAAATAATTTATGATGATTACAAGATATTATTTATTTAGAATTTTTTTAATTTATTGATAAGGAAATCGATATTATCTTTTACTACTAAGACTACTTATTAATATGTTTATATGTGTTCGACTTATTAATCTATAGTATTTTTTGCATGCTTAATGTCTTAAACACATATATTCATAATTTTTCTTAATTATTAACAATGCACACACCCTTGTTGGATTCAAAAAGAGAATAAACTTTTTTAACAACCTTCGTAAATAGGTATAGGATTCGGATCAATTCTATTTGGTCCAAAGTATTATTTAATCATTTACAAAATATTATTATAAAATATTTTTTATTATTTTTATATACTTTAATATTTTTATATACTCAATTTTATTATCGAATCTACGATATAAAAATAATAAGGGTAAACTACACGTTTAATATCTAAATTATTATTTTATTTTGTTTTAGTATTGTATTTTGTTTAAACCATAAGTAACTTTTAGTTTAAGTTTTAATTTGATACTTCGTCGTCAAAAAATTAACAGATTTGCTGACATACACATTTTTAAAAATTTTGTGGGCACGTAGTATTATCTTATAGTAATACGTCAACATCACTGTTAAGTTTTTAGCAACAATGTACCAAATTGAAACATAAAGTAAATGTTACTTATAGTTTTGACAAAAAACAAAGTACTAAAACGGAACAGAAGTGATAATTTAAGTACTGAACATATAATTTACCCTAATAATAATAATAATAATATCATTTAAATAAAAACTCAGCCGACAGTCGATACTGAAGCTTAATTTTGGTTTAAAATGTTTCTTTCCCATCTTTATCTCCAATTTCGGCATTCACTATGAGGCCAAGACAACATTGATAGCAACCCTAAATGTTGTCCTTCACCGTCCTTCCAAGTAACTTTCGAAATCCTAAATAAAGTTTGTCTTTACCCCATTGCAATCGAGTTCGTTCCATTCCGTACAATTCAATCAACATCACCGAGAAAAATAATTATTTTCAATTTCTTTTAACCATTTTTATTTAGACGATGAGAATAAGACTTTTACTCTTGATAAGTGTTGAACCCATCAAATTAGAAAAAAGAGAGGTGTTAACTAAAATTTTTTAACCATATGTTATAGAAATTATTGACCACTATGTTTTAGTTTTCATATCGTCATCAAACATTATTTCGTAATTGTCATCATCAACTATATGTTAAAAGAACTTTTGAATATATTATATTCAAATCCATATTTTACAAATTCAAAACGATTAAATTAAGATGAGCAAGTAAATTTGATCTGTTAGGTAACCTATTTATCTTTATCTTCTCGTATTTCTTTAAGTTATGAATTCAAAACTTACTAAAAAAACATTCTCTTTCCTTATCCTAAAACCCCTTTTTCTCTCCTAAATAAAATTAGAATGAGACATTTATAACAAAAAGCGATTAAATTTAAATTAGACCTATAAATAAAATTCGGATCTTAAAATCGGATCATAATTGAAACCCGAGAGAACCAAATTCTCACCCTACACATTGTCCGCCTTAATTATAGGGGGCAGCAAATATATTATCTTTGAACAAGCCGTGATGTACTGTACATCTTTGATTACGACCTATACAGGGGTAGTTCTGTTGCGCGATGGTTAAAAAATAGTTAAAAAATAACGTGATTGGTTAAATAAATAACTGATTAAAATTTAGACCGGTTATATTATATCATTTAACCGAAAATATTATCAAGTAAAATAACAAATTAGGTAGTGTTTATATAATGTAATAGGTAGCGCTTATATAATAAAATAGGTTAATTACTATAAACATTATCAAGCTCAATAACATATTAGGTAGCGTTTATATAATGTAATAGGTAACGCTTATATAATAAAATAGGTTAATTACTGTAAATATTATCAAGTACAATAACATATTAGATAATGTTTATATAATGTAATAGGTAGCGCTTATATTGACATATTCTATCATAAAATCGGTATATTTATACCAGTAATATTACAAATTTACCTATTACATTATAATTATCTGTTTCGATGTTTTTGGGATCGATATAATTTTAAATGTATCGACACTTTATGCGTGCACCTCGTTGGGCATTCATTTTGGAAAAAAATATCGACACAAACTTAAAACGTGTTGATACATTATGTAGACCTATTTTCTCATAAAACCGATATATTTCTATCGGGTACATTGCAAATTTACCTATTACATTGTAATTATCGGTTTGGATTTTTTGGGATCGATACTTTTAATAAATGTATCGACACTTTATGTGTGCACCTCGTTGGACATTCATTCTGGGAAAAAGTATCGACACAAACTTAAAATGTGTCGATACATTATGTAGACCTATTTTCTCATAAAATCGATATATTTCTATCGAGTACATTGTAAATTTACCTATTACATTGTAATTATCGGTTTCTATGTTTTTGGGATCGATACTTTTAATAAATGTATCGACACTTTATACGTGCACCTCGTTTGGCATTCATTCTGGACAAAATGTATCGACACTTTTTAAATTTGTGTCGATACATTATGTAGACATATTCTCTCATAAAACCAGCATATTTATACTGGTTAGATTGTAAATTTACTTATTACATTATAATTATCGGTTTCGATGTAACATATGTGTCGATACTTTTAGAAAATGTATAGACACATATGTTTAGTTATTCTCTCATTATAATATAATTAATGATATATTATTCTTATTATAATAAATAATAAATATAATTTATAATAATTTTAATTTAATAAAATATAATAATCATAATTTTTTATTTATAAAATTATAGATATACTATTTTAATAATAATATTAACATAAATAATATTAAATAAATTATTCTAATATTTTAAAAATAATATTATTATTCTGTTAATAAATAATATTATTTTATTGTATTTGATGTTTATAATTATATTGTAATTATGATTATTTTTCATCATTTCATTATGATTATTTTTTAAAATTATATTGTAATTATATATATATATATATTATTTTATTATTTGAAAGTTAATATCGAAATAGAAATACCGTGTCCTTTTTTTCATTAGTTATATTGTGGCAACTTACAAACTAAAAAATTAAAATTAATTTGTATAATTTGTGTTTACTAATTTTATCATTAAAAAGTCTATTTTTACCGGTTTTGTTATTGTTGGGCATAACAAAACCGGTAAAAATTACCTAAAACATTATTATTTCTACCTAAAACATCAATGCTTTTTAACATTTTCGGTAAAATGCCCAACAATAACAAAACCAGTAAAAAAAATAACAAAACCGGTAGCACTTTACCAGTTTATTAAAATAATGATGTTTTCGGTAATTTTTACCTGTTTTGTTATTGTTGTATACAAGTTACATTGTAAATTTACCTATTACATTATAATTATAACATTCGTGTTGATACTTTTAGAAAATGTATCGACACATATGTTTAACTATTCTCTCATTATAATATAATTAATGATATATTATTCTTATTATAAAAAATAAAAAATATAATTTATAATAATTTTATTTTAATAAAATATAATAATCATATTTTTTTATTTAAAAAATTATAGATATAATATTTTAATAATAATATTGACATAAATAATATTAAATAAATTATTGTAATATTTTAAAAATAATAATATTATTTTGTTAATAAATAATATTATTTTATTGTATTTGATTTTTTATAATTATATTGTAATTATGATTATTTTTCATCAATTCATTATGATTATTTTTTAAAATTATATTGTAATTATATATATATATATATATGTATTTTTATTTTTTATTTGAAAGTTAATATCTAAATAGAAATACTGTGTCCTTTTTTTCCATTAGTTATATTGTGGCAACTTACAAACTAAAAAATTAAAATTAATTTGTATAATTTGTGTTTACTAATTTTATCATTAAAAGGTCTATTTTTACCGGTTTTGTTATTGTTGGGCATAACAAAACCGGTAAAAATGACCTAAAACATTATTATTTCTACCTAAAACATCAATGTTTTTTAATATTTTCAGTAAAATGCCCAACAATAACAAAACCGGTAAAAAAATAACAAAACCGCTAGCGTTTTACATTTTTTGTTAAAATAATGATGTTTTCGGTAATTTTTACTTGTTTTGTTATTGTTGTATACTAGTTACATTGTAAATTTACCTATTACATTATAATTATAACATATGTGTTGATACTTTTAGAAAATGTATCGACACATATGTTTAACTATTATCTCATTATAATATAATTAATGATATATTATTCTTATTATAAAAAATAAAATAAAAATATAATTTATAATAATTTTATTTTAATAAAATATAATAATCATAATTTTTTATTTATAAAATTATAGATATAATATTTTAATAATAATATTGACATAAATAATATTAAATAAATTATTCTAATATTTTAAAAATAAAAATATTATTTTGTTAATAAATAATATTGTTTTATTGTATTTGATGTTTATAGGCACTATTACTGCTTTTCTTTTCAATTTCAAAAGTATCGATACTTGTTTAAATGAAATCGATACTTTTAACATATCTAGTAGGTAGTTTAATGTAATACCTAGCGCCTATTTTTTTTACCGTTTACATTATTATACTTGATAATGTTTCTAGTAAATAATCGGTTATGTTATCATTGGTAATATTTTAGGCGTTTACCTAATATATTGTAATAAAAAATTAAATAATTAACCTATTTTATTATATAAGCGCTACCTATTACGTTATATAAGGGTTACCTAATATGTTATTGTGCTTGATAATGTTTTCAGTAATTAACCTATTTTATTATATAAGCGCTACCTATTACATTATATAAGCGCTACTTAATATGTTATTGTGTTTGATAATGTTTTCAGTAATTAACCTATTTTATTATATAAGCGCTACTTATTACATTATATAAGTGTTACCTATTACATTATATAAGCGATACCTATTACATTATATAAGCGGTACCTAATATGTTATTGTGCTTGATAATGTTTCCAGTAATTAACCTATTTTATTATATAAGTGCTACCTATTACATTATATAAGCGCTACCTATTACATTATATAAGCGCTACTTATTACATTATATAAGCGCTACCTATTACATCATATTTTTACCTTTTATATTGTAAAGTATCGATCCTTTTTATAAAAAGGATCGATACTTTCAACATATCAGGTAACATTATGATAAAACCGGTAAAATTTACTTGATATGTTGAAAGTATATATACTTTTTATAAAAATGTATCGATACTTTGTTGAAAGTTATGTAATCTATGTTTCAAAATTTTTTAATAGTGCTTCTTGTTTTCCACCTACAATATTAATTTAATAATTTCATTTACACAAAAAATTATTTGATTGTTTTGATATTTTATAAAATATTATCTAGAATTTAAATTTAATAATTTTAACATAAGATAATAATAAATATGTAATATCTATGTTTATTATTTTTAATTTAATAATAATATATACCGTAACATAAAAGTAAACCATTAGACGTGTATAATTACTAAATTAATATATTAAAACTCACTAAAAAACCCTTAAATTAATATTTTTTACAGTGAAATAAGTATGGACACTTATATATATGTATCGATACTTACCGATAATTAAAGTTTACCGGTTACTAAATTTTTTAATAGTTTTTCATGTTTTCTACCTAAAACATTATTAGTCTGTCAACATAATATGTAGCGCTAAACCGAATTTATTAAATATCTTTTAATATATCCGGTAATACCGTATATTAACCGTATATTAATCGTATTTCCTGAGACAATCTCCCTATGCAGCTATATATAGTACATTGCCGAAGTGATGTTTTATTTTTGGGTAAACTAAACATTTAGCATTTAAATTTTTACTTTTGTTCTATTTTAGTACCTAAATTTTATTTTTTTTCAAAATTATATCTAACGTTTAGTTTATGTTTCAATTTGATACTCCATTGTTAAAAAATTAACAAAACTGTTGACTTTCTATTTTTATTTTTTCAATAATGACATGATATTACCTTATGGTGACACATCGACACCACCGTTAAGTTTTTAAAGGAGTGATACAAAAATGAAACTTGAACTAAACGTTAGGTATGATTTTAAAATAAAATAATATTTAGGTAACGAAACGGAAAAAATAATAATTTAGGCATTGAACTTGTAGTTTTCCCTTAATATTTTTTTGTTGCAATCACCTGTAAATCACAATTCTTTTCTAAATTTTATGTTTGAAAGCGGAAGGTTCCTTCAAAGCTTAAAACAACCGTACATATCCTTCTTGTTTGTTTGCATATACTTGGTTTGATTGGAGTTGCTATAAGTTATTTTATTTTCTCTTTTAATATTCTAAGATAATAGGTGTTCAAAAAAATTTAATTATTGAAAACGCACTCTATTAAAAATTAAATTCCAATTTTAATATATTTCTGCTTTTTGCCCTTTTTCATATATATAATATGTTAATTTATTTTTAATTAAAATTAATAGGTTTCTTTTGAATCTCGTTGTGGATTCAACTTCTCCATAAATTTAAAACACGTGCATACATATTTAACAATGTTTACATGCCGGGTTAATCATGAAATGATTGATTTAAAGGAGAATACGACCGTATGTTGAAAATCTCAAAGGTCCAGAGCCTGTGATGAACCAATACCAATGGTGTTGTTTTCCTTAAGGGTTCAAGTTGTTGAGTATTCCCCAACTTTAGAATTTGGCCTCGGTTGGTGGAGGCGTCGGAATAAAAGCGCCACCGTGTGAAGGGGAAGGATTCGAGGGAATCTATTTTATAAATGAAATTTAAAGTTTAATGCATATTATATAAAGTGTTAATTACGTCATATATACTTAAACTACAACTTTCATTTTAAATTGATCCTTAAACTTTTTAATATCTCAATTTTATCCCCAAACTATGACTCTCATTCTATTAGTTCTTAAACTTTTGAAAATTCTAATTTCATGCCTAAACTATGGACCACTTTCTAAATTAGTCCCCAAACTTTTGAATATTCCAAAATCATCCAAATATGTAATTAGTTTCAACCATAATATAACCTGAATTTTGTTTTTTTCTCAAACATATAATGATATAACTTGGCCTAATGATTTTATTAACAAGAGATGTGATTAGTGCATACATATAGTTTGGGATGAAATTGAAATGTTCAAAAGTTTAAGGATTAATTTAGAATGATAGTCATGTTTAGGGATAAAAGTAGAATATTAAAAGTTTAGGGGCGAAATTAAAATAAGGGTCATACTTTTTTTTTAAAAAAAATTCTCAAAGTTTAGTGTGAATTTTTTTTTTTTGCCTTTCTGATTCCCCAAGGCTCTGTCCTGACTAATCTAGATTGACTTATGTTGCACACGTAGTTTTGGTGGGTGAGTCTCCCAGCGTTGCATATACATCGAGACCTTTTTAAGTGATACTAAGGTGCTTACCACTTGAACCAACTGTTGATGTGTAAAAAATATTTTAATATAGTTTAATGACTATTTAAGAATTTTATCCTATAAAATTAGTGGTGTATATCAATAAATGATATTCATTTTAGAATTTTCCAACCGAACATGTTAGATTTAGAGTACACTATACGTTTAGTACCTAAACTATTACTTCTGTTTCGTTTTGATATCAAAATTTTATATTTTTCAAAATCATACCTAACGTTTAGGTTATGTTTCGTTTTGGTACCTCATCGTTAAAAACTTAACAATGATATTGACGTATTACCATAAGGTAATACCACATAATCATTAAAAAATAAAAAAGTATCGCATCAGTTTACCCGTGCATTTATAAACTTTTAAAATATCACTAAAATAGTGATACTATATAAATTAAGATTTAATGGACATATTTAATTTTGTTTTAAAATGATTCTTTTCATCTTTATCTTCAGTTTCTACATTCACTATCAAATCAAGACAACATTGATAGCAACCCCAAGTGTTGTTCTTTACCATCTTTCCAACTGACTTTCTAAACCCTAAATGAAGCTTTATCCATCCCATTGCAATCAAATTCCTTCTCCATCGTACGATTCAATCATCGCCAAAAGTAAAATAATTGTTTTAAAATTTTCTATGTTGTTATCTTGTAATCGTCGTTATCGCTATTGTTATCACGACAAAAAGTGAGATAAAGATTTGAATTTGCCAAATTCCGATTTATCTTTTTTAAATTCGAGTCGAATAAATTTAGATCAAACTTATAAATAAAAAATCCGATGATAATCAAGACGGGAGACAAGTAAAATCTCTCCCAAATTATGGGGGCCAGAAAGTATATTATCTTTTGAACAAGACGTGATATACTACACATCTTTGATTACGACCTACGCAGATATACATAGTACATCACCGTTGTGATGCTTTTAATCACAAATTTCTCTCTTTCTTTTTTACTTTTGTGTTTGAAAGTGGAAGGTTCCTTCGAAGCTTAAAACAACCGTAAATATCCTTCTTGTTTGTTTGCAAATACATCATTTTTCAAATTCTCATATGATTATCATATCAACATGGACGAAGTTAGTGTGAGGTATTACTGTATCCTAATTGTTTATCATGTATAAGAATAAATACCTATTTACACCTTCAAATTTTGATTTGTTTTCATTTTTTATTGTAGTTTATACCTAGTTCCTTGAATCAGAATCCTTGTTCCGTCCTTGCATATGAATATATATATATGACTTGACTGAAGTTGCTATCTAAAATTCAAAGAAAATTCAGTTTACATTTTTAACAGATAACCCAGATTCAGAATTGTCACCAATTTGATCATGAATGATTTTTAACTGGAATTTCAACCAAGAAGCTTTTATTCCTTTGAACACGTAGATTAGATTTAAAAAGTTTGAGGGATACAAAATAGAAAAGTTTCGGTTTATCATGATATTTAGATTATTATCAAAATTTACAAAATGTTTCAGAATTTACCATACAAAGGTTATCCACTGATTGCATCAACTACAACATTTTATTTTTTTGGATGATAATCGATTATTAAGTCATATTCTTTTAAAAGTTAAATCCAACATCTTTTGTGGAGATTCATAATATAAATGGGGCTTTTATAATCAATGAATAGATGACACTTTTCATCATACAGAAACATCTCCAGTTTTTCAAACAAAACACAACTACAATAAGTTCAAGGTTGTGTGTTGGATAGTTTAATTTATGACATTTTAATTGAAGAGAGTCGTAAACTATGACTTTCCTTCTTGCATTAAGACACATCCTAATTTATGTCATAAATTTTTAATGTTGGATACCAAAATGAAACCTAAACTAAACGTTTGGTATGATTTAAAAAATAAATAAAGTGTCGGTATCAAAACATAACAAAAGTAATAGTTTAGGTACTAAATAAATAGTTTATCCTAATAATAATGATATTAATCTGTTTATTTTATTAAAAATAAATTCTAAAAAGTATTTTTCGAATTATATTTAGTAGTAACTCATGTCAAGGTGTCTAATTGGTCAAAAC